ATAGGCTCGTACCGTGATTTGTGACTTGTACGTAAATTTTGGCGTCATTCTGAGTTGTCTAAGTATGTGTCGACACATTCTGAGTTGGTTGAAATGAGTTTGAAGCTTAGAAGTTGATTAATGAGGATTTGAGGTGCAATTCTTGATTTCGGTATTGTTTTATGTGTTCCGAGGCTTCGAGTAGGTCCGCAATGTATTTATGAACTTAGCTGTGCATTTGGACGGGGTCCCGTGAGGTTCGGATGTGTTTCGGACCACTCGGTGTATGTTGGAACTTGGTTGGAACTAATGGTCTACTGGTGTGTTGGTGTGCTTTGCGATCGCGAAGATCGTCCTGCGATCGCGAAGAAGGAAAATTGGAGGAGCAATTGATTGCCCTACACGAACGCGAAGATGGGTCCGCGATCGCGTAGGTTGGCCTGGCAGTGCTTCGCGAACGCGAAGGCCCAACCGCGATCGCGATGAGGAAAATGGAGGAAACGGGGTAGAAGGCATTTGGCCTGCGCGAACGCGACTTGGGGATCGCAAACGATGAAGGTCAGGCAGTGATGCATCGCGAACGCGACCTCCAGGCCACGAACGCGAAAAAGGTTTTTGGGTCAGTGGCATTTTGGCCTTCGCGATCGCGAGGAGTTTTCCGCAATCGCGAAGAAGGGAATTCTTGACAGACTTGTTTAAATCGGGGGTTTGGCTCATTTTCACCTCATTTCTTCCATGGGAGTCGGCTTTGTGTCGATTGTGGAGCGCCATTTTCATCATCAAACTTGAGGTGAGTGACTTTCTACTCCTTGTGAGTTAAATATATGGTTTATATGTGGATTAAAATATGAATATTTATGAAAATTGTAGAATTTTAAGAGAAAACCTCGAATTTGATATTTTTGGCTTTTAACCACGAAATTGGACATGAAATTGGGAATAAATTATATATATTTAAGTTCGTGATGTTATAGATAATATTTATCTTCAAATAATTTGGGAATCCAGGCATGTGGGCACGATGGTTGACTTTGTTGACTTTTCGAGCGAAGTTAAAAATTATTATAAATTAAAAATTGGCTCATTTTCACCTCATTTCTTCCATGGGAGCCGGCTTTGTGTCGTTTGTGGAGCGCCATTTTCATCATCAAACTTGAGGTGAGTGACTTTCTACTCCTTGTGAGTTAAATACATGGTTTATATGTGGATTAAAATATGAATATTTATGGAAATTGTAGAATTTTAAGAGAAAACCTCGAATTTGATATTTTTGGATTTTAACCACTAAATTGGACATGAAATTGGGAATAAATTATATATATATATATNTGTGGGCATGAGGGTTGAATTTGTTGACTTTTCGAGCGAAGTTAAATTTTTTTATAAATTAATTAATTATGATGTTGGAGTATATTTTTTTGGTTTTCATGATTGTTTGACTAGTTTCGAATCGATGAGCATTGGTTTGAGGTGCTAGAGAGGCGTTAGAGCCGGTTGTGAAACTTCGTAGCGAGGTAAGTCTCTTGTCTAACCTTATGGGGGAGAGGG